TTAGTATCCCATTTAATCCGGAGCTTGAACTGCTAGCTGGCTAATGAGCCTCCCGACCTTCTACTGACTAGCTGTATAACCTGCAGCATTTGCTGGGTGATCAATGGAGATGCAAGAGAAGCAAAGGAAGAAACAGGCACAGAGGAAGAAGGGATGACCCTGCTCTCCAAAGAGAGGACCCAAAGAACACTGGCTTTGCAGGGAGGGCTTGGAGCCAGAGTGGGGAGGTGGGAGGAGCTTCGAGCCAGGCTCCTATCCTCCAAAGAGAAAGGGTGGTAGGCTTTGGAAGCAAGAGCTGAAGGAACCTGGAAGCCAATGCTGCCAAACCTCTGTCAACTTCCTAGTGGTTCACACTCTGTGATTTCTGTCTTCCCACCTCCAGGCCCCAGAAGCTGCCAAGAGCCCCAGGCAGAGAAACAGGCATCCTAACATGACCCACCTCAGCAGAGCAGGAAGCACTGGAAAATGACAGAATGATGTTAAAAAAAAAAAAAAAAAAAACACGAAATTATTTTAGCCGATGTATTTTAAAATTCCTCCCTCAAGGCAGCATCCGGTTGCTACAGCAACCCTGGCTCTGTAGGGTGTCCTGATTACCACCTCCCCCCTGCACCTGTGTTGGGCAGTCCAGAGGTGTTCCTCAGCAGCTCCGGGGTCTGCCATCAGTGGACCACTCACATAATGCCTCAGGGATCACATTGTCCACTGTGAATGCCTGGGATACAAGACCCTATCTCAACAAAAACAAAACACAAGTGTAGGAACCCTTGCCTAGCATGTACAAAGCCCTGAGTTTCACTTTCAGCAATGTAAAATAGATTTTTAAAAGGCTTACTTGCTATTCAAATTGATATATGACCTGTTTGTAGTTGTTGTTGTTGTGGGTTTTTGTGTTTGCTTCATTTTTTTTTTTTTTAAAACAGGATCTGACAGACCTGACTGTCCCAGAGGCCTTTTATTTTGTCATTTCATCAAAACATGTACAGGTTACATTTTCATTTCCTTTAATACTGTGCAAATGAAGGCCGCTGGTTATGACTCCTGTCTCCACTTGCCATTTGGCTATAGCCTCTTGGGGACAGGACTGAACCTGCTGTCGAGTGGTGGTGCTGTCCTCCCCAAGCTCCAAACACCCAATGTCAGTACATACACATGCTGCGGCTCTGTACCCAACCAGGGATCATGTTTGATGTCTTTATCAAACACAAGCAAATAGCAGAGGAGAGATGACCACTGCCACAACAGTTCCAGGACTGTGCCGGAGGATCTGAGCTGGAGTCCTGGTGCCCTCACGTGGCCACTCTTGGTTTTGTCCATCTGTTCTCTTGATTCTCCAGCTGCACTCACTCTGCTGGGCACAAGGAGCAGCTCCCAACCTTGGCTCCACCAGGCACTGCTCCGAGGAAGACCATGATGCCAAACGCTGCCTGGCCAAATGGCATGCCTTGCGTTTCTGAAATGAATAACTGAATGGCTTCTGCCTTTGTACCTTATTTGTAAGGAATGGAATAGATAAGAATTGCCCCTGTGTCCAAAGGCAGAGGCAGGTGGATCTCTGTGAGTTTGAGGCCAGCCTGGTCTACAGAGAGAGTTCTAGGACAGCCAGAGCTGCTACACAGAGAAACCCTGTGTTGAGCACCCCCCCCACACACACACAAAAGGAAAGAATGGCCTTGTTTATTGATGTTGTGAGGTTCCCAACTGTAGAAACCACTGATGCTCATTTAAAAACACTGGGCTGGCTCAGCAGGAAACTGTTTCCCATGCAAGCCTGACAACCTGATTTCAATCTCTGGAACCTACATGAAGATGGAGAGAACCAACTCTGCAAAGCTGTCTCTGCACACCCCTGACCTACACGCCCATGCCAGTGCCATATCCATGAGCTCCCAGTTCAGTAAGAGACCCTGAATTACAAAATAAGGTGGCTCAGAGGTTTGACTCCCAGCACTCATAAGGAAATTAACATCTGATTCTAGTTCCAGGGGAATCTAATATCCTGTGGCCTCCACAGGCACCAAACACAAATATGGTATGTGCTGCACAGACATGCTGCAAGCAAAACAACCAATTACATAAATAAAATTTTACACATGAAATAAGAATAAAATAAGGTGGAAAAAGATTGAGGAAGACAACAGACATTGACTTCTGGCTTCCAAATGCATGAGCACATAGGTATGCACACAGACTCATACCCATCCCCCCACCCCTGTTCATTCAGACTCCCAAGTCCTCAAGGACAATCCTGAGCTGTTCTTGCAGTCACAAAATGCTGAGCCTGAACTTTCTACTGCCTAGAAAAATGGTTCTGTGTGAGAAATTCTGTGCTTTAAAAGCTCAACTGCTCCCTCTTGTTTTTTTGAGATGGGGTTTTGTGTAGCAAGGCTGGCTTTGAACTGGTTAATGTAGTAAAAAATAACCTTTAACTTCAGATCCTCCTGCCTCTACCTCCTGAGTGATGGGATTACAGTATGTGTCACCATCCCTGGTTTATGGTGCCAGAGAGTAAGCCCAGGACTTTGTGCATGCCAGGCCCACTAAGTCATTTATTTTTGACATACACCTACAGCAAAGATACTGCAAACACAAACCCCACACTGAGAGAAACAATGAAGTTTTGAAGAAGTACACAGGATCATACAGCTGGAGAGTAGTGGAGCTGATATTCATTCCAGGTCGACCTACAGTCTTCATTTCTGCCATACTCCCCAAGAAAAAGGGGATCAAGGTGTTCCTTACAGGTAAACATGCAGGGTCAGCAGAAACCATTTATTGAACACGTATCTACAGACTTAATCCTGTAAGGTGCCAGCCATGCCTGTGTGGGGATACAACAATATGGCCCCAACTCATGGAGCTTCTATCTTAGCAGAATAAAATAAGCAAGTATATATTTAGGTCAAGGAATGTAAGTACTATGAAAAAACTGAGCAGGTAAAAGGGATGTGAGCTGCCATGTGGGTGCTGAGATTTGAACCTGGGTCCTCTGGTTATCTTAGGAGACAGCTATTTCTTAGAGGAAGTCACAGAAGTCTATGAGGTGACCTGTCCACACGCAGGAAAAAAATAAATAAAAAGGACTGGCAAGAGTCAGATGTAGACCAGGGGACAGAGGCCCTGAGCAGGACATGCAAGGGACTTCTGTGTGTGCATGGTGAAGGGGCATGAAGTAATGAGGGAACACATCACTCAAGGGCCACAAGGTGAGGTGGTGGGGAGGCAGGATGGAGAAGTGGCTGCACTGTGCTAGGACAGGGCTTTTACTCAATGAAAGAAGTTACCGGAAGGTTTAGATCACAAAATAGATCCAATCTATAGCCTGACTGATTCAACCTGACTGATCTGACTGATGCATGGTTCAATGAGAGAACAGTGGAAGGGAGGTAAAGAAGGAAGAGATGAGACAAGACAGGTAAGGGGCTGTTTGGGGAGTGGAGGAACCCCGGATGTGTGGAGCCCTTGAGTTAATGTGTATTGTTGACATGAGCTGGCTGTGTCAAGGACTCCTAGGCTCAGACCCATGGGAGAGGTGCAACCCCAACCCTACCCCCAGGTGAGGCTAAAGGATAGCAAAGCTTTCCTCTGGTCCATGTGCAGATGTTAATGTATCTGCACAGAATGTCCACCATAGCTTTCTCCTCTGGGGTACTTACAGCCTTAAGACTGCCCCTACCCAGAGTGGCTAGGGCTGCCTGCTTGTTCAGCTGACACAGTAACTCTGCCTCTTTATCTGTATGCAATAACCCCATCTCCTTGTTCAGCTGTATGCAATTATCCACTCCTCTGTTCAACTACATGTAATTAACTTGCTGCGCTTATCAAGTGCTGCAGCTTCTCCATTACAGAGCTCAGTTCAATAACCAAAGCTTTTTCCTGTGTTTCTTTTTCTCATTCCATCCTTGGCCACAAGAAGCTAGGGACCTCAGTAGGGGCAGGTGGCCAAGGTGAGCAACACTTCCACGCTAGACACATACAGAGCAAAGTTGATGTGGGAAATAAGGAAGTATGACTTCAAGCCTCTGGCCCCGGCAATGAGGAGCCTCAGGGAGGCAGCAGAGGAAACGGGATCATTTGTGAGAGGCTAAAGTGGGTGCACCTGTGCATGGTTAAGGCCTGGTCCTCAGGGAGTGGACAGCCAACTTCTTCCTTCAGCCTCTAGGATGCCAGCTCTCCATTCTCTTATCCCCCTGGTCACTCTCTCAATTGCCTTTGCCCCCTCACCAATAAACAAGGAAGCACCCAGAGGTGTCAAGAAGTTAATCAGGTGTAGCCAACAGTATTTTAAGAAAAATGAGCAGAGCCTGGTGGCACACCTCTGTAACCTCAGCACTTGGGAGGTGAAAACAGACAATCAGGCTTCAAGGAAGACAAGACGAGAAGGGAGGAGAGGGATGGGGAAAGGAAGGGAACAGAGTCATGAGTTAGTGTCCTATGAAAATGACTACTGTAGTAAAACAGGTCCTTAGTCAGGGTTTTTTGTTTGTTTTTAATTCTTACTTCTTGAGACAGTATTATGCTATGTGTTCTAATTTGTCCTCAAACTCAAAATCCTCTTGCCTCAGCATCCAGAATGCTAAGAAGGCCATGTGCCACCAAATCTAATTTTTAACATCATGCTGGGGATCTTTGAAAGGCAGTCAACATTCAAAGTACAGCAATAGGAAATTTGACAAATATCAAGGTTATGGATGAGACAAACAAGGCCAAACTGGAGTAGGATTACTCTTTGGGGACAGACTTCTGGGCTCACTATGGAAAAGCCCTCAGCACAGACATGAACAATGTCCCTCTTCCACACCAAGTTGCGAAGCATGTGCCAAAACCAGAGTAATTCACTCTTAGTCAGCCCTGCCTGGGTGAGAGGAAGAACAGAAATACAAGAGGAAACAACTTACTTAAGGGATGAAACGCCACAAATTTTTCTGCCTCTAGGAAGACTACCATGTGCCCCGCCCCCAGGACTTCTAGTACATCCCAAAGCTTCACAAGACACAACGTTACAAATATTAGGATAGTTTTTATTTAAAAAAAAAAAAAAAAACCCACAAAGTCTGTGGGCAATACTCTAAAACACAGTGAAAACTACTAAGAGTGTTATCAGTACACATCTCACTGGCATGCAGAGGTTCCTTCGGTGAGAACAAAGGCTCTCCAGAAGTTTCCAAATAATTTCACACTGTCCCTGTTGTTAGAAGTCCTCACTGAGGCAGGTGTGGTGGCACACACTTTTGATCCCAGCACTCAGGAGGCAGAGGAAGGCAGATGTCTGTGAGTTCAAGGGCAGCCTGGTCTACAAAGCGAGTTCTAGGACAGCCAGAGCTGCAATAGTGAAACCCTGTCTTGGGGGGAAAAGTCCTCACTGAGAGGAGGACACTGAGGCACAGAGGTAAAGGAAACGGCATGAGGTCAGACTTCAGACACAGGAAGGGTCAGAAATCCATCCCCCCTCCTGAAATGCTGCCCAAAGGTCATTCTATAGCATCTAAAGCTTCAGTCTTCTTCATTCTAGTGGCAAGGGGCCAGGCTGGGACTTGATGCCTGTGACCTGGCCCACAGCCTGGCACGCAGGATTCCCTAAGGCGAAGGGCCCAATAGTCCCTTGCCTCTGCCTTACTCCTTACTCTCATGCCCAGCCCTCCCGATGGAAAACCAGCTGCACAGCTTCATTCACATCATGGACAACGTGGGATGCCTCTAGGAGCTCTGCACTGAAGCGGAAGTCTCGGTGCCCGTGGAATGGAAGCTCTGCTCCTCCAGAAGTCGGCCCTTCGGGGCCTGGGTCCTGACAATTGTGTATGCCAGTGCATACCAGAATGGAGGCACAGCTCTGGGTTGTTGAAGGCCGCTGCTTCTGGTACCCACCAGCCCCATGTCCCTTCTCTCCATGCTTTGCCATTTGCAGGTACTGGTTGAATAGGTTGGCACCATAGACGTCAGACACAGGGTTATCACTGGTAGGGCAGCAATACCGAGAAGAAAAGAGAAAACCCAATTTTAATGTTGCAAAGCCACCAGAACAGAGATCAGTCTGGGAGTGGTGTGACTCAGCTGCAGGGAGCCAGGGTGGTGTGGGTGGATGAGAAAAGGAAGCCATGGGAGATGAAGATATAATGGACTTACCCTATAGCATAGAGCTTCCTGATGGGGGCAGACCAGCCCCGTCTCTCAGCCTGCTGCCTGATTATGTCCTCTGCGTACTGATAAGTAAGGATGCTGGGTTTGCCCATCAAGCCCTCGTATTTCAGCTCCTTGCCTGTTACTTTCTGGTAGATGGTTTCCAAGCACAGCAGAAATGTGCCATGACCAAACCTGCCCAAAAAGAGATCTCAGCAATCCAGCCTTCAGGCCACCTGCCATTCTCTGAGTTGTCTTCATGCATCCAACCACAATTCCCCTCTCTGCAGCCATTATACTTGAAGAACTGAGGCAAGGACAGGCAGTTTTCCCAGGGTAGTAAAACTAGGGTCACAACCCTAATCGCCTCACTTTTATTTTGTTTTTCTAGTTATTATTACCTATGCACGTGTGCTGCTGTGAGCCTCAGTGACAGCTGTAGGAGTCAATTCTCTCATCTCACCTTTATGTGGGTCCCAAGAATCACACTCAGTTCATCATGCTTGGTAGCGGCATTTAACCATTACACCATCTCACCAGGCCCCTAAACCTTCACTAAATGGGGTTAGATGCTGCTCCATAACCGCTGCCTGCCACCCTTCCAGTCGTTGTTAACATCAATTTCCAGTGAAGCATACTGGCTACTAGGTATGGAGTGTGCTCACTGGCTCCCTTGAAGCTAGAAATGGTCAATGTCTCAACTACACAAGGAAGGGCCACTAACTTAAAACAAGGAAGGGCATGCTCTTGTCTGTCCTTGTTATGGTTTGGATCTTACACGGTTGCTAGTTATTGACACATTGGGAGGTGGTGGAATCTTCAGGAAGTGGAGGCTGACAGGAAACAGGTCATTGGCAGCATGCACCTGCCTATCTCTCTACCCTTCTGCTCACCAGCTATCACAAGGGGAGCAGATTTTTATTCCACGATATTCTACCCATCACAAAGTTCTGGTCACCACAGGCTCCAAATCAACAGGGCCAAAGTCAATCTTCCTCCTTTTAAGTTGTTTACTTGGGTATTCTGTCAGTGTTGCAAGCTAACTGTGCCACATACTGCTTCCTGCTACCTGAAATGCTAATATGATAGCTGATACGTAAGGCAGTCATTCTGGATTCTACACAAGGATTCAGGATTATGCTGAAGACCTGTGTGTCCTTAATAAAGGAGAGACTGAACGCAGGCCCCAGATTTCCAACCATACTTCTTGTAGTGAGAAAGCAATAAACTACCTTGTGTAAAGTATTTTTATCTTCCACCCTCGGTGCTAAGCCAAAACCTTGTAGTCACTGTGCTTGGTGTGGCATTAAATATCACTCATTTACACACAAATCCCATTTTCTGGCTGGGTGTGGTGATGCACTCCCTGGTACTTGGGAGAGGCAGACAGATCTCTGTGAGCTCCAGGCCAAACAAGGATAAACAGTAAAACCCTATCTCAAACAAAACAACAACAACAACAAAAGAATTCCACTTTCTTTTTGTTCCTTTGTTCTATCCTGTGAAGCAGGGTTTTGCTGTGTCTCAGGCTGGTCTAAGGCTGGTGTTACACGTGATTTTCCTGCCTCAGTCTTCTCAGTGCCAGAGTTGCCACTGTGAACCACTGCATCCAGCTAACTTTGAGATGACTGAGGAAACAGTCAGCCATGGTGGCACACACCTGTAACCCCAGCACTCAGGAGGAAGTGGGCAGAAGGTAATCATGAGTTTAAGGCTACTCTGAGTCACAGACAAGTCAAAGGTACAGAGTGAGACCCTGTCTCTAGAGACACAAAAATAATCATGTGATGTCGGGCATTGGTGGTGCCCGCCTTTAATCCCAGCACTCGGGAGGCAGAGGCAGGTGGATCTCTGTGAGTTTGAGGCCAGATTGGTCTACAGAGCGAGTGTCAAGACAGGCTCCAAAGCAAACCCTGTCTCAATAAAACAAAACCAAAAAAAAAAAAAAAAAAAAAAGTGTGAAAAAAATCTCAAATATGTCTTCTTTTGAATGGAAACTCATCTCAAATCTGGTCTATAAACTGGTTTTCCCCTTGCTTTTCCATTCACAGCTACATAGACCTCCCACCTGATCCCCACCTAGAATCAACATGTCCTAACTATGAATAACAGAGAAAACACTGGACTGGAGAGTTCAATTCCCAGCAACCACATGGTGGCTCACAACCATCTGTAATGGGATCTGGTGCCCTCTTCTGGTCTGCAGGGGTACATGCAGACAGAGTACTACTGTATATATAATAAACAAATCTTAAATTAAAAAAAAGAGAGAGAGAACACCAAATCTATCTACAGAATATACTTTATATGTGACAGGAACTAGGGGAGAGCTGAGTCAGGAAGAACTGAAGTCAATTTGAGCTACATGGTGCCATCCTAGCTCACAGAAAAAAAAAAAAAAAAAAAAAAAGCAGAAGAGAATAATAACACAGAAAGGAAGTCCTGCCTCTTGTTGGGGCTATCTTGGGTCTAGGACACCCTTTGCTTACCATGTAAGAGTGAGAAGACACTAAATTCCGGACTAAGAGCTTCACAGCAAGGTAACCTGAAGGCCACACATCAGTGCCACACCATTGGTCTCAGTTCTTGGCTCTATACCATGGGAATATCCCACCTGGTTTATAATCCCACCTTTCCCATTCTAGGCTCACATATGGAAGCAAGAAGGAAGAATCTTGAATATATACCCATCAATATACCTTAAAACTACCTGTTTGATGGATGTATTCTCAGATCAGCAGGGAACATGCATGCATGTTAAAAAACACTCAAGATATCTTCATGCTCAATAATTTGCAGTTTTAGTTTAATAACTGACAAGTAACTCTTGAAAGCTCTTACTCTCAGAGGCCAGGTTAGTGTGGTACTACAGGGCTTATGAGGTTAAAGTCAGGGATACTGTGTCCTCACCTGGGCATCTTGGCTTCAGCCATCCACAGGAGATCCATGTTGCTAGCCAGGACAGGAAGGTGGGGATATGGAACTGTCACCAGGCCAGTCCCAGGATTTCCATTGCTAAGGAGGACATCCAAAATCAGCTGTAGACTTGTCTCCCAGCGGACTGGCTCCCCAAGAAGAAGAACCCCTAAAAATCAAATGCATAGGGATGAGGGAGCAGGGCACTTGGCCTGCCCTTCGTGGTGGGTAGGTGGAAGGCCCTTCAGAGACAACAGAGGCCAGTTAGTAATACCTACCCAGAGCTAGAGGTCTTCACTAAGGGGCACATCTGGACGAGAGTATGGTTCCCTGAGCAACCCTGACCAAGCCACAGCCCAGTACACCCTGGGTGAACAAACTCAGGGCCCAGCAAGGAGCACCTTACGGCTGTCCTTTCTGTTCACTTCTGTTTCACAGGAGCAGCAGATCTCATGCTGCTGCTGCTGCTGCTGCTGCTGCTGCTGATGATGATGGAACTCTACCCAGCACACCTCACCACACAAGTACTGCTGTCCTCACCAGGGGCTGGCTCTCTCTCTGAACCTAACAGTCAAGCAGAACTTGGAATGAGGGGAGCCCTGGGCTCCAATCCTAACCCTGTGGCAGTTACTCGCTGCTAAACCTCAGTTGACTCAACTACATTTGAGATGAAAAGGACCATAGGCCCTGGAAGCATGTATGGCTCAGAAACCAAGTGTATGCCTAGGACAAACAAGGCCCTAAATCCTGGCCCTAGCAACAAACAAACAAACAACTATGAAGGACTGGCTGGCATGGTAGCATACACCTACAGCACAATTATTTGGGAAGTAGAGACAGGATAAGTAGCTCAGTTACCCTCAGCTACCCACAAATCAGAGGCCAGTGGTTACTACATGAGATCTTTTCTCCAAAAAGAGTGTAAGTTTCCAGCCAGGCATCTTGGCTCACAACTGTAATCCCGGCATTTAGAATGCTGAAGCAGGACTACAAAGCTGAGGCCAGTCTGGATTACAGAGGGAGACCTCTGCCTCAAAAAAAAAAAAACAAAGTAAGGGGCTGGAGAGAGAGCACAGTGGTTGAAATACTTGCTGTTCTTGCAGAGGACCTAAGTTCAACACCCGGCTCTCATGTCCAAGGGGTCACAACCACCTGTGACTCCCACTCCAAGGATCCAATACCCTCTTTTGGCCTCCACGGGAACCTGAAAACATGTGGCATATACACAGACACATATATAGATAAAAATAAAAATGACAGCTGGGCGTACACCTTTAATTCCAGCAGTCAGGAGGTAGAGGAAGGTGGCTCTCTGAGTTCGAGGCTGGCCTGGTCTATAGAATGAGTTCTAGGACATATTTTTGATTGCCACAATAGAACACTCAGCAGATGAGGACTTCACACAGGCAAGAACTGTCCTTTCTAGCAGTATCTGAGGTCCCACCCAGCATTCATGGAGAAGAATAGCACATCCATAACTGTTAGAGCAACTCTACCTTTTTGTTTTGTTTTGTTGTTCTTTTTCAAGACAGGGTTTCTCTGTGTAACAGCCCTGGCTGTCCTGGAAATGGCTCTGTAGACCAGGCTGGCCTCAAACTCACAGAGATCCACCAGGCTCTGCCTTCCAAGTGCTAGGATTAAAGTTGTGTGCCACCACTGCCTGGCCAACAACTCCATCTAATATCTAATCACAAAGCATTTCAATTAATTATTATTTTCTAATTTTATGTGTATGAGTGTTTTGCCAGCATGTATTATGTACATGCATGTGCATACCTGGTACAAGTCTGTGGACACCGGAAGAGAGCATTAGATTCCTTGGAATTGGATTTACAGATGGTTGTGAGCTATCCTGTGGGTACTGGGACTCAAACCTAGGTCTGCAAGAGCGTTACATGTTCTTAATCATTAAGACATCTCTCCAGCCTTACAAAATATTTTTGTACAGTTTAACAATTTTTTAAATGAACATACCATCAAGAGACTCCTAATATTTCTTGAAAATTTACAGTGGTGATGCATGCCTTTAATCCCAGCACTTGGGAGGCAAAGACAGGAGGATCTCTAAGTTTTAGGCCAGCCTGGTCTACAAAGTGAGTTCCAGGACAGCCAGAGCTACACAGAGAAACCCTGTCTTGGAAAAACAAAAACAAACAAACAAAAAATTACCAAGAATTGTTTTCCATTTGAGAAAACAATTCACTAATGGCAATTCTGCCCACATACCTGTACGGCATCTGTAAACACAGTCTGTATCTATTGTTGGAACATTTCTGCTCACTCTGTTTAGAGCAATCGTTTTACTTCTCAGATAAATATAACATACTGAAACATTTGCAATCTTCTCACCAGAACATTTTCTTTTCACTCTGGGTACAGTGAGGACATTATACCGCACTAAATACTTTGTTTGGGTTTGAGATAAGTGTCTCACTGTGGAGCCTTGAACTCAAATCCTTCAATTCAGCCCCGGAAAGTAGGAGACTACAAATATGAACCACCACACTGGCCACTGATTACTTTCTGATATAGGTCATGGGAAAGTTATTTTACTTCAGGATGGCAACAAGATGTTCAATGTCTTTGTTGTCCAAGGGGAGAGCTAAGCAACACTGGACTAGACTGTCAGTACCTATTTACTCTGGAGCTGCTGGGCTTACAGTTCTCCAACACAATACCACAAGCACTGTGGAGATAGACAAATTACCAATACATGTCTCAGAGTACTGAGTGGACAGCCAGGGCTAGAACCCATGTGTCTCAGGCACTGGTGTGCAGTACCACCCTCAACACTATCTGCCTAAGAATCCGAGAGCAGAGAGGGACAACGAGGAACCCACGTCTACCCAGGCACACGACTCTTTTACCTTCAATGGCAGAGAAGTCATTCCTCAGGTGCTGCCAAAAGACAAGAAGAGGCCCATCAATGCTAGTCACTTTCCAGTCCTGGAGTATCCAGTCTCTAGAGTTGAGTAGCAGGACACACAGACTCCACACAGGTGAGAGACCACCTCCAAGGACCAGCCCAAGCCGAGAAGTAGAGAGAACTTAGGAAGGAGATGAGCAAAGGAAACACAAGGCACAGACTGGGCTCAACAGGCTGAGGGGCAGTGGCCAGCTGTGCTTCTCCAGTCAGGGTGGGAAACAAGGTCCTGGTCAAGCAGGAGCCTCTAGAATCTAGAATCAGGGTGCTGAAGGAAGAAACAGCCTGTGAGAGAGGGGCTCTCTGAGCACAAGGACTCTCTTATGTTTATGCCAGCTCTAGAGGATTTCTCTCTGTCAGCCTTGGGCCCATTTCTCCCTGGGCCATTGTAGTCTTGCCTCTGAGGTGAGTCACCTCTCCTGTGTGGCGCTCAGCCTGGGAGCATTCTGAGATGTGTTCCCACGCTATAGTCTGGTTCTGCTCAGAATTTTAGTGACTCAAGAGAAAGCTCTCAAAGGATCTGTTCTATAACTAGAAAACCCTGGAGGGAGAACTTATTTTCTATTAAATAAATGAAGTAAGCTTATTTGTCTATAATTGTATTACATCAAATCCTAAATTGCTGATATAAGCTATTAAATCATATGTGAATTTTCAAAAGGAATGGGGCAAAGGACATCTTAAGAGTCATACTCCAAAGGTCAATGAGTGGCCTGGAACCGACAGTCTCAAGAAACAAGAAATCATAGACTTAGCGGCAGACTTCCCAAGCAGGTAGAACCCTGGGTTTGACCACCAAAAAGCAATCAAGCTACTTTTTTTTTTTTTCAAATATGAGCTAGACACCAAAGGCAGTGGGAGGACATAGACACATCAGTGTTTTTTCCTCACAAGGCCGCCTCTTTGTACTGTGCATCAGGGTAAAGGAACAGCAGTGAGTAACGTACAAAGGTCACTGATTCCCTCAAGAAAACCGGGGAAAGCTACCAGTAGCAGCACTGATAACTGGAGAAAAATGTTACAACAAAGCAGAAGGCAAGGGCGTGGAGCTCACTGCTTCTCTTGGTCATTCTCTTATTTATTTATTAGTTTTTGTTTTTTCAAGATAGAGGTTCTCTGTGTAACAGCCCTGGCTGTCCTAGAACTCTCTCTGTAGACCAGGCTGGCCTCGAACTCACCAAGATTCACCTGCCTCTACCTCCCGAATGTTGAGATGAAAGGTGTGAGGCCATTCTTATCTACCCAAGGAACACAATTCTTGGTCAGACACCTCTCCAAGAAGACCAGTGCAAAAGCACCCATAGAACAAAATGTAGCTCCTAGCATAAGAGTAGCAAGATCAACAAGTAGAACCAACACAGGGAGTAGGAAGACAACCAAAGACCCCAGAGATACTGTGGAGGGTGAAGTGACCCACCCTGTCCTTATTACCGTGGTCTTCGGCCGCCGCTCAAGGTCTACCATGTCCAGCTCTGGGAAGGCGAATCGTAGCTCATCTACCGTCACCACATTCTGGAAGCCTAGTCTGGAGTAAGATCAGGGAAGCAAAGCTACACCGTTCTGAGGAAGATGCTTTTATAGACACATCAGTTCACAAGTGAGCAGAACCAGACCCAGTCCTGACCACAGTAGGCAGGCAGCTATCATAAGTCCCACAGGCACCAAGTGGCAGGCTGTGACTGCATAAGCAGAGCAGACGCATGCAACATCAGTGCAATCCCTTGTGTTCCCTCCCACTAGGGTACATTCCAGGTACCGGATCCCAGCAAGGCCCAGAGAATAGAGGCCAAAACCCCACTGTATACTCCAGGACCTTATACCTCGCTCAGGGCCCATTCAAACTGGTGCTCCATACGTAGTGCAGCCCTGAGTACTGAGTTGGGAGGAGACTCCTCTGGCTGGGAGCTGGGCAAAGTCAAGTAACTGGTGAATAGCTATTTCCTCTGGGCTGAAACAGGAAGGTGGCAATCCCTGAAAGTTAGCAGAGCCACAAGCTCCCTCCCCACCCTCACACTTCCCTCTCCTGTGAGGTTATATAACATTCTGAGACACCCACCAGCCACACTGCCTGCAAGCTGTGCAGAGTGCTCAGGGATGCGACTTCACCAGTCACGCCACCCTAGGCTCTCCTTGTGGGTCTTTTGGTGAAGTAGCTACCTCTCACCCACACCCCTATATAAGGTAACCCAATGAACTGACTGGGTCATTAAGCCACTGGAGGAAAGGTCACACAATGGCCACAAAGAATTAGTTCCCTCTAACAGACACCCCATTCAGCAAGGTACGGCCGTCATGCAGAAGACCAAGCTGACTCTAACCTGCTCTCCTCTAAGATCTACTGCCGTCTTTCTTTCCCTGATTCCATCCTGCAATCTTAACTAGACAGTTTTTCAGATGACTCGAAACCAATCTCCACGGACGACTATTCTAAGAGCTCCACCCTGCAGCAATGGAGGCTGCACTGGCTCAACACTGCTGAGCTAACCCCAAGACTTTCAGCCCCCGCCTACCCTTCTGTTCTCTAATGCCCAACTGACCTGCCTACCTTGCCTTCCTAGGAAGTCTTACTCACCTCCCAGGGCACCACCAAACCACCTGTGACGCTACAGGCCATTCCTGCTCCAGAGGTAGTTCCCCTCTACATTTCAATGCTTAGAGCCTACAACTCTCAGTCTTGGCAGCCTCCAGATGCATCCCATCTTCTCATTTCTTCACAATACACTTAGATAGTTGGGGAGGGGACACGTGTGGATATCAGAGGACAACTTCAGTAGTCAGTCCTCTCCCTCCACTGTGTGGGACCTGGAGATCTAACTCAACTACTTCAGCTTAGAGGCAAGTGCTTTTACCCACTGAGCCATCTCCTTGGCCTTATGCCATCCTTCCTTCATAGGACCTGGGATTCAAACCCAGGGCTCATACATGACAAATACTCTACAACTGAGCTTCATCCTAGCTGTAACAGTATTTTTTAAAGTTACACTTCCTTGTGGGGTTATGGACGTGAGAGGACAACCATGGAGTCAGTTCCCCCTTTCACTGTGTGGGTCCTGATGTGCACAAGCAGGTGAGGCATGGTGGCAGTACCCTCACAGCTGAGCTAGCTTCCCAGGCCTCGATGACTGTCATCTTGACTGGATCCACATCCAACCAAGAGACATGAATCAGGAAAAGTTAACTGGGGGTGTCCTCCCCAGAGTAGGGGGTACCTTTTGGAGAGGTCTGAGGAATTCCAGCTTGCACTGAAGCTCTCTCCAGGAACAATGCCAGTGCTGAGGATCAAGTGTTGTGGACTGGGCAGCTACAGAGTTCTCAGGCTCTCTAGTAGTAGATGGCCACTGTTGAACTACCCAGCCTCTACTGTGTAAGTCAAGCTAGTAAATCTCCATTTATAATATATGTTCATTCTATTGGTTCTGTTCCTCTAGAGAATCCAATAAGACCTGTTGGCTTAAACATTCTTTTACTGGTTTTGGGTATGTTCTTCCCTTTTCAAGTATGAATTCCCTGACTAAGTCACATTCCCAATGTTCTTACCTGGGTCCCTGACCTGCCTTAGAGCACAGCCCAGCATGGTGCCCAGGAAGCATCTGGGGCACAGGAATAAGCTGCACAAGAACAGAGATCATGGCCGTTGCTTTCTGAGTGCATGTGATCAAAAGGGAGCTGAAAAGGATGAAGGCTGGAACAAAACTCCCACATGTAGTCACCCCAAGAGGTATTTGTTCACTTAGAGATTCCTGAGTTTTTAACTCAAGACACAAAAGATGAAGACTATCCAGGGTCAAGACTCAGGGCTGTGTACATTAACCTCTGCAGATGGCTCTGATGAGGTGGTATGTGACCTGGCGTTACCAGGCACAAGGACTGACCACACAAAGGACCCATCTTTGTTCCCCAAGAGCCCACCTCCTATCTATGGCACCCAAGCCTGCACTACCTCTCATGCAGAACGAAAAGGATACGCTCTGGCGTTTTCCACCAGCGGTCCCTGCCCAGACACTAGCATCCGCTTGTTGTGGTACTGTAAGAAGAGTTTCATGGGGCTGTGAGAGAGAATGACTTGGTCTGGATCCACCTATAGAGATAACCAAGAAACAGGAAAGCAGGGGATGATATAGACTGAGAGAAAGTAACAGGGAGACAGGCGAATGAGTTCTGTCACTGGGGTGGGGGGCACGTTCTCTACAAGCTGAGTTGTGAAAGTTTTTCCTGCACCTGACATTTTCCAAGACTTAGACAAATAGGAATGAGAACTTACCTTGGGTTGGGAACACAGCCAGTGACAGAGTGCTAGCCCAGCATGAATGAGTGGGGTGGGGGTCGTGTACCTAAATTAATCCTCAACATACAAAACAAGAGAAGCATTGTCAGATGTAAGATCTGACCACCAACAATGCTGGGCTTAGCTTGGAGTACTGAGATTTCTTTCTTTTTTAAAAATTTATTTAATTTTATGTGCATTGGTGTTTTGCCTGCATGCATTATCTGTGCAAGGGTGCCAGACCCCCTGGAACTGTAGTTACAGACAGTTGTGAGCTACTATGTAAGTGCTGGGAATTGAACCTGGTTCTCTCTTAACATCTCTCCAATCCCATCCCTAAAATTTCTTAATCCTTCACTTGGATACCACAGGCTTTACAGACATATTCTTTGTTAATGTCATAAAAAACAAACAGCAACAACAACAACAACAAAAACTGTCGTGGACCTTGACAGTTTTCAGTCCTACTTAAAAACTTAGCTTTCCAGGGCTGGGCACTGAACCAGGACGTTGTGGAGAGCCAGAGGTCAGCGCTGGGTGTCTTTCTCAGTCACTCTCCACCTTATTGAGTCTCTCACTCAGCCTGGAGCCCTCTGTTTTGCCAGACTGGCTAATAGGCTAGACTGGCTGGGCAGCGAGCCTCGGGGATACAGTTGTCTCCAACCCTTCCCCAACCCTGGAATTACAGAGACGCTACCAAGCCTGGCATTCCAAATGGAACTCCAGCACTTGACCCACTGACCCACCTCCCCAGCTCCCAAGATTTAGCTTTTCAACATCTACACTATCTTCAACAATGCACTTTTACCCAGAATTATTATTTTGAGTTGGGGGGGGTCTCATTAAACAGCTCAAGCTGGCTAAAACTTGTGGTTAATCTTTCCTCAGTTTCCTATGTGCCAAGATCACAGAGGTATGCACGACCACACCAGGCTCCTCAGAATGCTTTTGGGGGCCCTTTATTGACTCTCTTGGTTACAAAGAACCCCTTCTCAAAACTAAGTTCACCCTTACCAAGCAGGTACCCATCTTATACAGCAAGGAACTGCAAAGGGGCAAAGATGCTTGGCTTTTGGAGGACAGCCCTCACGGAGCTGCACAGCTGCTGGCTGTGTAGATGGGTGGGATTTTTGTTATTTCTCTGACGCAAGGTCTCAGTATGCAGCCCGAGCCATCTACAACTCCCAATCCTCCTGCCTCAGTTTCTCAGGTACTTGTTATCAGCTTATACATACTATTATTGTCAACAAGAGCTGTTATTGCACAGCCCCATCTGTACTGTGGAATGCTGAACAAATATGATCTTTGCTTTCTGGAGCCAAACATCTAGAAAAGTCATGAAGACAGCACACTAAACTGCTGGGCTGGGAATGCAGCTCAGCTGGCAGAGTGCTTACCTAGCATGCATGAAGCCCTGTGTTTAATCCCCAGTACATACACCACGTAGGCAGTGCACAGCTGTGATTCCCAGATTAATGAAGTGGAGTCAGATGTCTGGAGTCATTAACTACTACTTCAGACATACAAGCCACTGTCTCAAAAACAAATACTCCTGTCATCTCCCCCTCTCCCTGAAATAGGGTGTCATGTAGTGTAGCCTAGCCTACTTTTGAAAAGGTCTGTAATGAGTGTGCACCACCACAGCCAGTAATGTCGTATTAGGATCCTGTTCTAGAACTTCATGCCAGGTACAAAGTTTATCCACTGAACTACACCCTCAGTCCCAAGGGCAGGATTTCTGTGCTCACTCAACCATGTGTGTACACTTGTGAGTAAAGACTCTATTGATGTCATCACAAATCTAGGCTGGGACTTTAAGACTCCTACTGCCACAGTCAAACCACAACCTGAAGAAGAAAGTGTAGGGTAGAGGTTCCAACAGGAGCCTACCTTTGGGTTCTATGCTCTGGCTGCCTCTTACCTTGCATCCCAGCAGGCCTGACAACTCCTGGGCTTTGCTATGTTGTAAGATGTTCCCAGCATTTGTGACAAAAACCACAGGTACCCTCAGCTGTCCCTTGGAGTTTAACAGCTTGCTGAATGCTTCCAGAGCAGCTGGGATCACTCTGTGGCCTCGAACCAGCACTCCATCAATGTCAAATAGTAAGCCAAAGGTGGGAGGACCCTGTACAGAGGGGAAGAGAAGAGAATGCATGAGAGACAGAGGAAATGAAGGGAAAAGGGTCATTTAGAAAGGGTCATTGTCAGAAAGAATAAGAGAGGAAAGCATGGCCTGCTTTCTCTCCTTGTCTTGTCTGGCAGTGCTAAAAAAATCAAACTCTGCTGAACCTAAAAAAAGGTTTAGAGACTACAAGACTGCCGCCAACTAACAATTTGAGCAACTGTGGAAAGGTTACCATAAATGCCCTTCCTGGATAGTGAGATCAACAACTAACTTATTCACCATCATGGAGCCCTCATCTAGTACCTGTTGGAAACAGAAGCAAACACCCACACCTAAACACTGAGTCGAACTAGAATCCAAATGCAGAGAGAGAGGACAAGACCAGGTTGCAGAAACACATAGAGACAGCTGACCTGAACAAGGAGGAGTTAACAGGCCCCCAGACTGATAGCTGGGAATCCAGATGGCACTGACTCAGACCCCCCTGAATATGGGTCTCAGCTAGAAGGTCTGAGCAGTCTAGGGGACCTCAGACAGTGGAACCAGGATGTATCCCTGGTGCACAAAAGGACCTTGCGGACACATCCCCCACGGAGGGATACCGCCTTAACCTAGAGACAGGAGAGAAGTCCTAGTCCCTACTTCAAATGACTTGACAGATCTACATGGATGGCATTGCCCTCCATGGAATTGGGGTGGAGGGATGGGAGGGGAGGGTGGTCAGGGTGCATAGAGGGTAAAAGGGAGGGAGGGAGGGAGAGAGGGAAAGGGAACTGGGATCCACATTAAAAAAAAAAATCAAACTCTGCACAGGGAAGGTAAGAATTTTACCACTCAGCTACACCAAGGCATGACATTTTTTTTTTTTTTTTTTTTTTTTTTTTTTGTCGAGACAGGGTTTCTCTGTGTAGCTTTGGAGCCTGTCCTGGAACCCACTCTGTAGACCAGGCTGGCCTTGAACTCAGAGATCTTCCTGCCCCTGCCTCCAGAGTGCTGGAATTAAAGGCATATGCCACCACCACCTGTCACCATAGCCATCTTTTAAGAGTTTGCTCTAGAGGTTGGGAATATACCTCAGTGGTAAGTGTACTTGCCTAGTATACTTGAGAATACAAGTTTAATTCTCAGTATCATTAAAAAAAAAATCATTTTAAATCAGCTGGGAAATGGTAGCGTTTAATCCCAGCACTTGGGAGGCAAAGGCAGGCAGACCTCTAAGTTTGAGACCAGCCTGGTCTACAGAATGAGTTCCAGACCAGTCAGGGATCTACAGTGAGACCCTGCCTGGGGGGGGGGGGCGGGGATATGGATATGGATATGGGATGGGAAAACGGGATAAATTTGGGTCAGTGAAATGGCTCAGCAGGTAAAGGCACTTGACTGCCACCAAGCCTGATACTCTGAGTTTTGTTCCCAGAATACAAATGATGGAAGGAGAGAGTTAAGTTCCCCAGTTTGTCCTCTGCCCACCACATGTGTGCTGTGTGGTGTGTACCCCTAATAATATATAAACAAGAGAGAGTCGGGTGGTGGTGGCCCACATCTTTAATCCCAGCACTCGAAAGGCAGAGGCAGGCAGATCTCTGTGAGTTCCAGGACAGGCTCTAAAACTACAGAGAAACCCTGCCTCAAAAAAACAAAATCAAACAAAAACCCAAATAAATGTAGAAAGTTAAGTTTTTCCACATTTTGCTATGATGGGGGTGTAACAGGGGGAGTGGCACAGAGCTATATATTCCCAGCACTCAGGAGGTGAGGCAGGAGGATCAAGAGTTCAAGGTCAGCCTCTACTATATAATCCCTGTCTCAAAAATCAACACAAAAGACAAAAGCCATAGGAAATTGACCCTATCACCTCCAAAATAATAATAATAAGGATAATAATAATAATGTAGCTCAATTCCTTTGAATTTATAATCCTCCTGCTTCTACTTAACAAATGATGGGGTTGTGGCAAACCTTTCTTAGCGTCTTTAAAAACAGGGGTAATAAGCCAAAGAACATAAACATTATAAATACAACTTACATCGACAAACTGTTTTTGAAAAACACTTGTCAACCTACATGGCCACTGGCACTGCATTTTATCCTTGCAATGTACATAATTATTAAAATTTATTAACATAATTTTTTAAATGTTCAAGACTGGAGACATAGCTCAATGGTAGTGTTTTTGCCTAGCATGTATGAGGCCCAAGGTTCTATCACCCTAACAAAAAGATCAATTTCTACTTCTGAATCTCTAATCTTTTTTGAAAACTTATTCCATTTCTTAATGTATAAACTGCCTGTTAATATAAGAGATATTTCTCAATTATCAAAACAAATGGACTAACCTAACTTATCTTCCATTTCTCTTTTGTTGGTGCCAACTAGGTTAAGTCACACTTAGAATACAGTCTGTGCATAAAGCTCTGTCAGTGGTACTCAATCCAAACCACAACAGGAAGAGGCGTGACGTCACAGGCCTTGAGTCCTAGCACTGGGAGGTTGGGGCCAGCCAGGGCTATATAGTGAGACCGTCTTAATAACCAAAATACCAACACAGATGAATAGTGCTCTAGTCCCCCATTCCTTAGTTGACAAAACAGAACGAGCAGCTAGTGTAGAAAACACAGCACTAAAACAGCAGCATTTTCTTGGGAAAACTAGAGAGAGAGAGAATCTTAGACCTTGTGCACTGAGCTATATCTCCAGCCCTGAACATTCTGAGTTTGATATTTACATACAATATAAGGGTCAAATTAAACAGGCAGAGTTTCTTGAAAAAGAATTCTGAGCTAGCAATGATTGATGCTGACACCACACTGAGTGAACCAAAGAGGAGCGGCAGGCAGGCAGGGGAAGGCTAACTGATACTTCTTGTTTGGACCCTGTGAGGGCAGGTGTGGAGAAGCCAGGACCTGGGAGACAGCTCAGTGGTTAAGAACACTTGCTCCAAGTTTGGTCACAGCACCCCCAACAGTCTACAGCTTCAGCTCCAGGGGATGTGCTGCCTCTGGCCTGCCTATACCTGCAGACATGTACACACACACACACACACACACACACACACACACACACACACACACTTTGAATTGGGGAATTAGAAAGAATACCAACTTTTAAGGGTGAAATATATGAAAGTCAGCCATAAACACCAGAGAAACAGCAGTCAAGGTAAGATGGGAAAACAAAAGGGTATAAATTAAGGAAGTAAAATGGAGACTTTCTGTATCAGGTAAACTAGGAAGTAGAGTGACTAAATAATGACTCAATTTCTCTTCCACTAAGTAGGTACAAGCTCCCGGGAGTGATCTTTGGCTCCTTTACCTGGCTTACACAGCCTCTCAGGCTTAGGCCACTGGCCAAGTTGGAGGTGGGCAGGAAAACTGGAAAAACAGGAGATAAATCAGTAATACCATCACTTTGGACCACCAGAAAACAGCGGTCGGAGACACTCAGCAAGTCTCTCATGCATGCAGGAAATATGCAGACAAACTGCCAAAAGCCTCCAAGGCTGATCCCTTCACACCTTATCCTAACAGAGTGTACTGGGCTCCAAGCCAGACATATAACAAACACTTTTATCTATCTTTATATCAAGCTGCGAGGAGCTGTCTATCTTCAAATGGGGTACTACCTAGCAAAACTGTACCACAAAGGTGTAAGAAAAAAGTAACTACTAAAGAATGTGACCAAACATAACTTGTATAAGGCCTGGGTTCTTTTCTCAGCTCCTTCCCCCAGATCAAAGAACCAACTGCTGAGAGAAATGAGCCAAAGATTTCCTGGCCTGGTTTACAAGGACTCCACTTCAAATGAGCCAGCGGCAAAGCCTGGGCCCTTACTCCCACTCTTCTGGGCTGGAAGCAAGCAAAGGGTTCCCGGAGGGGCTGAGATCTCTGCCTGGACACTCTCACCTCATCTACTGTCAGCTTCTAGCTCATTCTACCCCTAGTAGCCAGGATACGTCTTGTATCCAGCGTACTTCATTCATACCCAGTGGCCCTCAGGATCCCTGCAGCCCTTCCCTATTCCTAATGGGGCCCTAACTAGGACTCTTGGTAGATTACAGAGTGGTCATACCAGCCCTGACATTTTTATTTTTCCATAGTTCTTTTCTGACTTCATCATCTTACACATCTCAGAGAGGATCAGCACACAGGTCTGAACAGATGAGGGAACACAATTTCCCCACGCACTTGCTGTGAATGACACCACCGACACTGTGCTTAGGATCCTTCAGGTGTTCAGTAAGGACTGTTGAGTGTCCCCAAGGATGGCTAGGGAGAAATATAGCAGACCTTTGCCTTGAGATGCTACCCAAAGGAAGAGGTGGTGGGTCTCGGGAGGAAAATCTGTCACTTTCAGCAGTCTAATTTCCCTTCTGTCCCATTGTGAACTCAGGCAGCACTGTTCTGCATGTAGGCAACACCATTCGGAAAGTTTAAGATTAAAATCCATTTGCTTGAAACTAGGCCTGGTAACTTGAACCTGAAATCCCAGCACCTAGGAGGCAGAGGCAGGAGATCACCAAGGATTTGAGGCCAGCCTGGTCTACAGAGTGAGCTCAGGTCAGTCAGGGACATAGGGAGTCATCTCACACAAACAAACAACAAATCCATTCACTTATAATTTCAAAGTAAGTTGGAATTTGTTAGGCATGATAATACCATTGTGATTCAGTTCAAACCGTCTTTTGGAGGTTCACGAAGAGTTCAGGGTTAAAATGATAAGAACTCTGGGATTTAAAGTCTTACAGCCACAAAGGGGAAGAGATAAGCGGGTGTACCAAAATACAGTGACTGGTTATTTGGAAGATAAAAATATAAGATTCATATTCTTTTCATCTTCGGAAACTCACATAATTAAAAGAAAATTAAGGACCAACAAGATGGCTAAACTGTTCAAAACGCTTGCTGTGCAAGCCTCATAACCTGAGTTCCAACCGCAGAACACACTCTGGAAGGGGAGAACCCCAAAGTTGTTCTCTAACCCTCGACATGTGTGCCTACATATACATCTCACGCATACACAGCAAAAAAGTTAGCAATACTAATTAATGGCCCCTTTTTGCCTCGAAGGCTGCACAACTGAGCCGCACAGAGTGTTCTGGTCACATTCAAAGCAGCTACCTTTTGGGAAATAAGAATCCGAGGGCTCCTCGAACAGGAGAAACGAATTAACTACTAAGAAACTTTTCTGGCGCGCGGAAAGGAGCTGCGAACCCACCCGAGGCTGATCTGGGGTTGGGATGGGTCGTTCGCCCTGGACACGGACTTTTCCAGCGGGCGGAAGGCGTTCCGGGAAGGACGAAGGGTTCAGCGGCTCCACGGTCTCCGGGATGCTCAGTGACCCGCACGGCCCTCCCGCCCACCAGCCCTGCAATCTGGGTCGAACCCGCTCATCCTCACCTCAGCGCGGCCCACGACGTAGCCCCTCCGGAGCCAGCAGCCCGGGAGCCCCGCAGACAGGCGCGCAGGAAGCCTCCACAGACAGCGCCCAGTACGGAGAGCCGCCAGCCCGCAGAGCGCAGCCATCGCGCCCGCCGCGCGCACGCGCACACTGCGCCCTGCATCCGAGGCTCCGCACCCCCTCCCCGCGCCCTGCGAAGCAGCCAATCAGCGGCCGCCAGCGCGGGGGCTCTCGGGGGAGGTAGTCCGAGCCGGCGGCGTCGGACTCCGGTTCCCAGTGCCCATTCGGGAGCCCAAGGGCGGCGTTCGCTGGTAAAAAGAGAGGCTCTGGGTCCCTCGCTTCGCCGGTGGAAGACTTGGGGTCAGCAAGTGGGCATGCGCGCCTGCCGGGCTGTGAGGACGGACACCTGACCAGTCTGTGCACCTGCTGACTTCCGGGAGCGCGTGCCTCCTCCCAAGTCCCGATTCCAGAAGCCTTGGGGGTGACCCTGTGGAAAAAGGCAACTTAACCCTGAGTTCGGGACTGGGGAAGAAGACCTTAGTTTTAAGGACCACGTCCGCTGAGCCTCGTCCACACGAAGAATGTTGGTGGCGTGCTAGCTCTTACTCTCTAAAATCTTTTACTCTGTAAACGTTCGTGGCAGTCCTGCTTCCTGAGGGCTCAGACCTAAAACCCTGGAAGGCCACATGTGAACCATCTCTCTGGTTCTCACTTGGTAGGGAGGCTGGGATGGGTGTACAAAACAAGGTAAGAAGATCAGTGTCCTGAGAACTTAGATAATGAATTCAGCAGCTGGGCAGGCAGAAGGGAGAATGGGCTTCGGTCAGTGAGTGGCAAGAATAGAACTGGGTCAGACTATACTGGTATGAGGTGGATACCCGCTGCAGGAAGAAATCTCTCCTCCCACTACATGAAATGTGTGATAGGATGCTCCCTTCCTTACTCTTTGATCTGTCCCTGGATATAATCATAGAGCCTACAGTGTACTTAGCACCAGAGAAGGGGCTCAGGGAAGGACAAGGACTCTGCTAACTCATGTCGGTTATAGGCATTGTTTCTCAGCTTTGAAGGCCAAGGCCATGAATCAGAGTAACAGCTGTTGACGAAAACTTGGAAGATGGATTGACATTAGTCAAACCCACCATAGCACACAACACATAAACCCAGTCAGGAGATAACGCTGTCCGGGTTTGGGATGGTTTTATCCCTTTTCCTGTCATTCAACTACTTAGGAACTAATTTAGGTAAGGGTGTGGTGGTGGCTTGTGCTACCAGCGCTTGAGCGGGTGGCAGGAGAATCACCCCTAGTTCAAAACCTTATAATAATAGAAGCTGACTTAGCAATTAGGATGTTTTAAAATGTATCCACAGTTGTTCTAGTGACAGCTTCCCCCATGAAAACAAATATCTAACAAAAGATAACATGTTGCCCTTCACCAGATTGGAGTCTTTAGAGCTCAGTTCTCAATCCCAAGCGGGGTGGGGGGTGGGTGGGTGGGTTGGAGGTGGGTTGGGGTGCAGCTGATGATGGGGAGCCTCTGGAACCAACAGTAGATAAGCACATGAAAATATACTTAACAGTGAAAGTGAAAAACCCAATTTGAAACAGCACAGCTTTGGTTTTGAATGGCTTCTCTTGACAGTATGGGCACTTATCGAATTTATACAAGTCTTTGAATCTGGTTCATTTCAGTGTGTGATTTTTTTTTTCCTGCAATGCTTTTCATAGTAAAGGTTTTAAAACTCTGGGATCAATACACTAAAGGGAAAAAATTGATCACTTTAGAACTTCCTTAGTGAGATCCAAAGTTTGCAAAGGCATGCTATGGCTTACAGATAACCAGAGCAGCACAATTTCTTTTCGTAGCTTTTTAAAAATAATTTATTTTTATTTTATGTGCATTGGTGGTTTTCCTGCATGTATGTCTGTTCGAGGGTGTTGGATCCTCTGGAAGTGGAGTTACAGAGAGTTGTGAGCTGTCATGTGGGTGCTGGGAATTGAACCTGGGTCCTCTGAAAGAGCAGTCAGTGCTCTTAACTGCTGAGCCATAAATGAACATAAAATAAAAAATAAAGCAAATAAACACAGTTTCTAAGTGCATGTTAGAACAATGCTTTAGTCTTTAATGAATAGTTAAATTTGTAAGTAAGGAAAATTTTTCATCAATGTCTGCAAGCTATTAGCGTGTTTTACCTATATTTATACCTGTTAGGTATTTTAGATACAATATGCATGTTATGAAGAAGCATGACATCACTGGACTCAGTAGCAAGTCTCTGAAATCTCCCCTTTGGTCCTCCAGAAAAAAAAAAAAAAAAAAAGCAACTATTCATTACCTCCCCCCACCCCCTCAGGATAGAGCAAATACCTTTAGTAGCCAAAACTTCAGTGAGAGGGTTAACATGTGAGTTTTGGGTCTCCTGATGACCTGAGTCCCATTCCTAGGACTCACATGGTGGAAAGAGGGAACTGACTTCCGCAAGTTGTCTTCTGACTTTCACACATGTGCCATAACAGGCATACCCACATATACATACCACACATGCATTGCTACACACAGTAAATAAGTGTGTATTCTAAATTAAAAAGTCTTTTGGCTCTGTGGATTTTCTCTCCTGCCTTTTATTTCTTATATGATAATTCAATGTTCAAGGTTATTAGAAGTGCTGTTATCTTGGCCAGCTTCTGCTGAGTTTCATTAAACTCTTACTAGCTTTTCTTTTCTTTTTTTCCCCTCCCAAGACAGGTTTCTTTGTGTAACAGCCTAGCTATCCTGAAACTTTGTTGACCAGGCTGGCCTCGAACTCACAGAGATCTGCTTGCCTCTGTGTCCCTAGTGCTGGGTCTCATGGTGTGTACCCCCATGCTCAGCTTTAATCTAAAAAAAAAAAAAAAAACAAAAAAACAGGGTCTTATGGTGTATCCTTGATTGGCCTGGAACTTGCTATGTAGAAGAGCCTGGCCTTGAACTCGAAGAGAGCTTCCTATCACTGCCTCCCAAGTGCTGAGATTAAAGGAAAGGCCCAGCAACTCTCAGACAAAAAAAAAAAGTAAATTCTCAATGAACAGTGCAAGCTCTTTGTGACTTTCAATGTTGTATTTTTTAAAAAATGGATTGATTATTATTTTTGTTTTGTTTTTTGAGACTGAATCTCACTATGTAGCTCTGCCTGGCCTCAAACTCACAGAGAAATTAATTTAATTTTTATTATGTATATGTGTGTCTGTGTGTGGAATGTGCACATGAGTGCAGGCACCTGCAGAAGCCAGAAGCAGCAATGTCCCCTGGAGTTGTGGTTACAGGCAATTATGAGCTACTGGATCATGGTGCTGGGAACTGAACTTGGGTCCTCTGTAAGATCAGTGTGAGCTCTTAACCACCAAGTCAGCCCATATGCTCAGGTTTTTACAAGAGCAAATATATATATATATATATCAGACAGAATGGCACATTTTTTTTTATAATTTTTTTATTTAAATTTGAAACAAGCTTGTTTTACATGTCAATCCCAGTTCCCACATCCTCCCATCCTTCCCTGTTCCCCCCACCAATCCCCATCCCATCCCCTTCTGTTCCCCATGGGGGAAATACTCAAAGTCTGTCACATCATTTGGAGCAGGGCCCAGGCCCTCCCCCATGTGTCTAGGCTGAGGGAGTATCCCTCTGTGGAATGGGCTCCCAAAGTCAGAATAGCACATTTTTAAATCCCATCACTAAAGACAGAGGCAAATAGAGGACTGTGAGTCTAAGACCAGCCTGGTTTATGTGGCAAGTTTCAGCACAGCCAAGGGTTCATAGTGAGAGCCTGTCTAAAAACAAAACATATATGACAGCCTTAAAAACAAACAAACAAACAAACAAACATAAACCAGGTGGTCCAACGGCCTTTTCTGGCCTTTTTGGAAAATGTGTTTGCATGTGTGCACACTTGAGGACACACACACACACAAATAAAAATAAATTAAAAAAATAAAATCCATTTACCTAAATCCTTTTGTTGTTTCATTTTGTTTTGTTTTGTATTATTTTTGTTTTCTGAGACAGTGTTTCTCTGTATAGCCTTGGCTGTCCTGGAACTAGCTCTGTAGACCAGGCTGCCCTCAAATTCACAGAGATCCACTTGCCTTTGCCACCCTAGTGAAGGGTTTAAAGGCATATACCTACATCTTGCAGCAGACAAAACCTCTGTAGTGAACAGTATGTAGGCAGTTATGGTAGTTTGAATGTAATTGGCCTCCATAATCTCCTAAGCAGTGTCATTCCCCCCCCCCCCCCCGATAATGTCATTTAATCTACCAAATATACAAGTTGACTTTGAGGATCTTGTCTGGGTGGTACACAGCAACCACAGGTTTCTTAAAATGATCAATGGGTAGGGTTAAAAATGGCCACTAGCCCTGACCAGGTGGATGGGAGTGGGCACAGCAGGTCAGAGGAGAGGACTCATTGGACCCTTACGGGCACAGGCATCCCGACAGCCCCTCTGAGTGAGCACCTAGACAGCAATCTGGGCTGGCTGTCATCATCTCCCACAGCAGCTGCCTGCTGGTACTACACCCCCCCCCGCTGGACAAATGGAATCTCTTTACCCCACTTCCCAGGCATCCCCACCCCCAACCAGGGTTCCAAATTCGAAAACCAGCTAAAACACTCAAATGGCTATGTATGAAGTGCTGCCCTGCATCTTTCTATCTCAAAGACAGCAGCTTCCCATCCCCCTAACCGCCTCCCCACCCCGGTCCCCTGAATGATTTCTGTGCCAAGATGAAGATGTAGGGGCTCCTGGCCATGAGGGGCTGCTGTAGAGGCGCCAGGACACAGGGTGGGTGAGACTCTCGGCAGAGGTCCTAGCTGCACGGCCCTGTTCCCCAGCATTTCCTCCCCGCCCCCGAACCTCCTCCGCAGGCCAGCTTTCTTATTCGGGAAGAGTGACTGCATTCCTTTTCCTGACAAACGTTGCAGCATCTTTTGCTTTCCTCTTCTTTCTTGCTGCCTCCTCCCGCTGATTGCCAACCTTGGCCTGCTCTGTCTTCCCAGCCAAGTGCATCTTCATGTAGCGCTCTTTTGCTTTCTGCTTCTTGATTTCTTCTCTTCCTGTCCTTGAAAGCTCCTTTGGCCCCTCC